CAGCCGGAAGCTTCGTCGTGCCTCTGCTCCCTGTCTTCTCCCTTTTTCCCTTCCTACCAATTCACCTCTCTGGCTGAGGCGAGTATGAGCTGGGTCTGAGCCCAGCTGCCTCCCACTCTCCTCTCTGTGGCTCACGGTTCACCCAGAAGCAGCCACGAGGCCGGGGGGACAGCTCTCACTCTCGCCAGGGACTGCTCAGCGCCCAGCAATAGGCAAGCAGACGTCTGCCTGATTGATGGCTGCTATTAGGCCTTGGCTGATGCAAGGCTGAGTCTTGGGGCAGGCTGGAGGCCAGCAATGTCCCCCAGGAGCAAAGGGGCTGTGGCTGAGGAAGAAGGCAGGCTGCAGGGTGCCCAGCACCTTTGGCATTGCCAAGCCCATGGCAGGAAAGCCCAAGCACCCCTTTGCCAGTTCCCCACGGTGACAGAGTGATCCTGGCCCCACAGCCCAACATAACACGTCACCAGCATCACACCCAGGGCTGCCTCCTCGCTTCGATCCGTGCAAAAGGAAGCAGATGGTTAAGAGAATGACCTGCTACAAATAGGGGGGAAAAGAAAAAAGAAAAGCTACTAAAAGAAAGCTCAAAGCTGGCTGGAGGCACTGACCCCCTTGGGAGGCATTTTAATCACGAATGCTCAGCCTTTCTGATTAAATCCTGTGGCTGGAGAGCTGGTGCCTGGTGAATATTCATGCAGCAGAGTGAGGAGCTCTGGAAACATGCCTACAGGGAAAGGAGCAGGGAGAAGGGACATAAGGGGCTCTAACTCCACGCTGCTAGGCTGGGCAGCACCAGGTCATCACGTTTGCATTTCCAAGACTGACAATTACCAGCTTCAAAAGCAGCAAAGCTACAGAGAGAAGAGCTCCAGGCAGAGGGCAGGATGGGCAGCTGACTGCTCCGGGGGAGCTGCGCTGTCAGCCTGGAAATGGAGCTCCAGGCCTGCTCTGGAAACCTCGAGGGGAGCAGGACTGCCAACTGCTGCCCAATGGTCTCCTGGGTTTGCCAGGGCAAGAACCCATCTCTCTCGCCCTCCTGCGCTGCCAGAGGTTCTCCAGATCCCCGGGCAGCACCCCAGCCTGCTGTGCAGCATGAGGCATGGGGTCCAGCTAACACTCCCAGCCCATGAGCCTTGGAGTCACTAGAAAAGGTTCCCCTTCTCCTGTAGTAAATATTTTGGCTTTCAGCCTCCCAGGGAGCTCAGAAGGAAGCTTGGCTCAGGGAGCCTCCCTGACCCAGGAGGGGACGCACCTCTGCCCCTCTGCGGGTTCAGTAGCTCAAAAATAAGCTCCGGTGCATCACCATGTGTCCTCTTTCGAGGGGGTGAAAGCCGTCACTCTGACTGCAACACCCTGAGAGGCCACCCCAGAGATGCCGAGGGTGCTCTGAGGACAGACAGGGGTAGTTGTCACATTCGGAGCTGAGGAGCAGTAAAACACCTCCAGACGGAGAAGCCAGGAAAGGAAGAGACAGGTATGGGTGAGCATTCTTCACCCACTTTTGAGGACTTTGGCAGATCTCTCAAGATTTTGATGATACTTGACAGGTTAAGAGATCTCAATGAGCACAGAGTATGAATGTCACTCTCCTGGTAGCTCTAAAGACAAGAACTAAAACATAACAACTAAGACTCCAAAACTGTTCCCTAACCAGGAATGGAAATCCTTAGGTCTCCCACCCTAACTCTGTGGTCAGCACCTCCACCTATGATGGACCTGGCCAGGGAGGAGGTTCCTGAGAGCAGGTTCCTCAAGAGAGGAGAGGCATGCAAGCTGAAAAAGGCCAAGGCAGCCCTGAGACCCTTACTTGGCTTGAAAAGCTGGCCCCAATGTGTTCAGACAAAGGAGTCAGGACAAATGTTCTCTAGGGGGGTCCTCCCTGCCATTCTGGTAATTTAGGTGAGGTATCTTGAACAAACGGGTCCTTTCACCAGGACAAGTTCCAGGGCCACAGGTCGAGGGGAGCTGTGCACAAAAGAGCTCAAGGGGAACAGGGGAAACACTGCGGCCACAGCTGAGTGTGGCTGAGACTCCACGCTCACCACCAGTCCAGCATCCTGGCCCAGTGAAACCAGTCTGGAATGGCTTAAAGCCAGCATGATGTCAGTCTCCTGCAACGCCCTGATCTCCCAAGTGCTGCTGGCCACCGACACAGCCTCACCACCCCACTGGCCTGCATCCTCAGTGGCTAAGAGCAGGTTTTAGCAGCAATAGGTGCTCACACGTCAGCAAAGAGCTGGGGTCAGTTCTGAGGCTGCCAGTCTCCTTGGAAAGGCACTGGTTTGTGATGGCCCAAGTCTTCCCTGCCTCCTTCAGGGGGCTGAGCTGAGAACACACACGGCTCACAGGCACGCAGAAGGGCCCCTTGCCCTGTGATTTGGGGGGATACAGCCTCCTATAAAGGGACCATGAAGCTCACTGGCAGGCAGGGAAACCACTCCCTCCTTGGATGCTGATCCTCAGAGCACCCATCTGGGTGCCGTTGTTGCTTTCCCACAGGAGGAAGGTGCTCCAGCACAGCGTGGAGCCCAGGTGAACAATGTAGCCAGGGCTGACTGTCCTGGCCACCAGCTCTGCAAACCCACCCTCCCCCTGCACACAGCGACAGCACGGGGCTGACGGGGCTGCCAGCAAGGCAGGGGGCTTTGAACAATAAAGAAGGAAAAACCAAACCAGACTTCTACCTCCACAGCCAATAGCGAAGGCAACAAAAGGCCTATTTTCTAGCATCCTGCTTCCCTCCCCAGTACGGCTCTTCCCCTTCCATCTTCTCCCCTCCTTTGCAAGAGCATCTCTCCCAGTCTCCCTTCCTGCTGGAAGATGACGACATTGTAATTGCAAGGGCCCCCTCGCCCGCGGCAGCTCGATGCAGGACTTCAGGACATGATTGTCTCCTGCCTTTGTGCGGGGTTAAGTCTGTGAGGAGGCAGGGCTTGCATAAACTCACTCGGGCAGAAGCTGGAAAGGTCAAAACCACCCCCTATCTCCACTGACTGACATGTGTGTGCCTGCACCCGCTCTTGGCCAGCCCTGTGGTTACAATTAACCCCCAAAGAGCCCCAATTCACTGATGGGCTGGTGCTGGCCACGCAGAATTGCCTTGAACAGGTTTCGTCTTAAAGCTCTCGCTCCATCTTTTGAAAGAAATTCTCCCCTTCCTGAATAAGCCAGATAGAGGGAGGTAAAAAGGGAGGGCAGCTGGGAGCTGAGGGTGAGGGGAGCATCATGATTTAACGAGCACACTCAGTAATTCAGCGCTTGGCCACTCCAAAGAGGGCTCTTTCCTTCCTCCCTCCCTCCTCCCGAGCTGCTCCTCAGTTCCACGATGGACAGATGCCTCCATTTCAGATCACCCATCTGCCAGCACAGAAAGGCTGATGGTGAAAGCAAAGCTCAGGCAGTGGGGAGCTCCAGATCCAAGCCCTGCTTGCTCACAGACAAGCCCCTAGGTCCCTCTTTGTCCTGCCCTCAGCCTGGCCAGAGGGGACCCCAACGCTCCCCAAAGACACCCTGGCTACCACTAGTATCTGCATTTGGACACGCCAGCAACAAACAGGATGGGAGAGTTCTAAGCACCGCGCTCGGAGGTTTGTCACAGCTGTCCCCTGCAACACTAAGTTGGCTGCAGAAATGCAATACCAGGTTTTAGAAGGCACGCCACAAAGCACAGATGTTGGCGGGGCCCCCAGCCAGCATCCAGACTGAACCGTTTGCTACCAGCAGACGGGTGTTTTTAAGAGGGCTGCCTCCACACCGAGTTTAATCCCTTCCTCCTGAGCACAGCTGGGGAAGCACTCGGTCACGGCAGGAGCGAAGCAGCGTGCCACTCCTTGGACCGGCAGCTTGGCCCCCCCAGCACCCAGCCGCTTGCTTGCCAGCACCCTACGGCACAATCACAGCCTTGCTGGCAACAGCTCCTCCAAAGGTGCCTCACTAGCAGCTACAGGCGATCCTCACAGCTGAGTAACGATGCTTTGTTCTTGCAGACCACCTCTGGCCTTGGGCCCCTCACCGAGCGCTCCCCCATGGCATGACCCCATCACCACCCTGCCTGGCTACTGTTATTCCCCAGTTGGAAGGGACTCCCAATACAAATCTTACTGCCAGACCCCAACCTGCCCCGCCGATGTAGAACTGGGTCCCCAGGGGGGACTATGCAGAGTTCCCAAAAGGTACCGTGCTATAGGTTTAATGATTTAACGTCTTTCACACCCTACCTGTGACAGTCACCAGCATGGAGGCCATGAGCGGACGGTTGTTGTCCAGTTTACGGCTCAGCCTCAGCTCCCCGCTCGATTGATTTACAATCAACAAGTGCAGCTCATTCCCCCGCTCAAAGGTGTAGAAGAGGCGGTCGGACACATCTGGGTCATAAGCTGGGACCTTCCCTATGACCCCCGAGGGGAAGGTGTTGGACTTATTGGACACGTAGTTATTGAACAGGATCTGGAAGTTCTTGAGAACGGGGCTGTTGTCATTCTGGTCAACGAGTTTGATGTGGACCGTGGCTCTGCTGACCAGAGGGGCAGAGGTGGCCTGCACTACAATCACGTACTCAGGTTTTGTCTCATAATCCAGGTCTATCAAGGCTGTGAGCTCCCCAGAAAAGATGTCCATCTGGAATATCTCAGGGATGTTGCCCTCCACAATTTGGTACATGATCTGGGCATTGGGTCCCTCATCTGGGTCCACAGCCGTGATCTGGGCCACAACAGAGCCTACGATGCTGTTTTCCTTTACCAAGACCTCAAACTCTTCAGCAGGCAAGACATTTTATTGACATCCTGAATGGTGACCTGGATATGGACAGGAGTTCGCTGAGGAGGGATGCCCCTGTCCACAGCATACGCGGTCAGCTCGTAGACGGGAACGTTCTCACGGTCCAGCCTGCGGACAGTGCGAATGATCCCCGAGGTGGGCTCTATGGTGAAGTCTCCATCCCCATCCTCCCCGTTCTGGAAGGTGTACTGCACTCGCCCGTTGGTGTGGGCGTCCCGGTCAGTGGCAGAGATCTGGAGCACGCTGGTGAAGGGAGGCGCATCCTCCGAGATCATGCCCTGGTAATGAGGGCTGACGAACTGGGGGGCGTTGTCATTAACGTCATTCACCATGATTTCAACGTAAGTGGTGTCTGCTTTCTGGGGGATCCCGTTGTCCTTGGCAGTGATAGCCAATGTGTAGGTGACCTGGTCCTCATAGTCCAGTCCAGCCTGGAGAGTGATGGCCCCCGAGTCTGGATCAATTCGAAACTGAGGGACATTGTCTTCTAGGTAGTACGTGATGCGGGCGTTTTCCCCCACGTCATCATCCGTGGCACTGATCATCACCACAGTGCTGCCCACGGGCCGGTCCTCGTTGATGCTCACCGAGTAGTGGGCACTCTGGAACACGGGTCGGTGCGTGTTGGCATCAGTGATGTTGATGTGAAAGTGGAAGTTGTCAAGAAGGGGGCGGTCGGAGGCCGTCACAGTGAGCACGTAGCGCCTCTCCTGCTTGTAGTCCAGCGGCAGAGACAGAGTGATGAGCCCCGTCCCGCCTTGTGTGCTAATGGAGAAGCGGTTCCGCGTGTTGCCTCCCGTGATCTGGTAGGTAATGGCGCTGTTCACGTCCCGGTCAATCGCCGTGACGCTGAGGACACTGGTCCCCACCGCTGCATCCTCGTTCAGGCGGATGAAGTACTCCTTCTGGGTGAACTCGGGGCGGTTATCATTGACATCCATGACAGTAATGGTGACGCTGGCAGAGGCAGATAAAGATGGAGAGCCATGGGCCCGAGCCTCTACCCCAAAAAAGTAGTGCTCCACTG